CGCAATATATCGCCTTGCTTATAGTATCGTAATATATCGGGATATATCGTATCGTGACCCCTCTGTCATGATATGTATCGTATCGCCAAATTCTTGCCAATACACAGCCCTAGTAGTTCATGATATATTTAGCTAAGAAACCACTGATTTTACATTAACAGCTTAAACGCAATTCAAGATACAGCTAATCCAGATTAGCTAACATTTAAATGAATTTTACTCAGTCAGTTTTACAGACTTTGAGCATAAAGTGCCTGTGACATCAAATTTTGTAATAAATATGATTGCATTTTTGAAAAAAACATAACATTGATAACATGTAAAAAAGATTTTATGCCACTGAGATGAACAGTTGTTGAGATATTTGAATCATGTGAAGTAACAGGAAGTGATGTCAAAGGGGAAAGTCTGAACGTGAACAGAGCGTTGCTACAAAGGCCGACAACACAGACTGTAGAGAAGAATCAGATTTTTTTAGATTATTTTAATTACTATAATACAGAGATGAGGAAAAAGTTCAAATAATATTGTTTCAGTGAACAAAAACCAGGGAGTGTTCTTTCTCAAAGAGTTCCCTTTTGATGTCACTTCCTGTTTTTTCTTCAGGTGAGCCAAGTTCAGAAGAAAATATGCCAGTTATGTGACATAACGGCTAAAATCATGTGTATTATGCCAAGTTTCTTAAATATAAAGACGTTTTCTTTGACTTTTTGTACTTCACGGATATGCATGTCACAGGCACTTTAAAATTTGTTCTGAGATTCATCCACAACTTGTACTCTGACTGTGATATTTTCTGTAAATACAACTGCATCATTTCTCAATAAAAGATGCTCAGTTTTAATAAAGGCAGCAGGTGATTTTCATGGAAACACTTCCAGCCTGTGCAGAATGTAGAACATGATCATAAGCAGCCTTTGTTGTTGGTTTGGTGTGAAATCTTCTTCATGTCATCTTTTAAAGAAATGTTTGTTTAATTAATGCTCAGTCAAGTAGCACATTGAGCTCCTTTAAACCTGCTTTCCTTTAAGGTGTGTGTCACAGGCCGGTAAAGCTGATTATCACACCCCGGTGGTGCGTTTGCTGTTTCACCCTGTCGTCAACGTTCCACCGGGCGGCTCCCTCAGGCTCGGCTGCAGCCGGTTATAAATATACACGTATTTATCATCTCTGTGAAGCAGAGCACAACTAATCCCACACCCCCATTCATTGTTTTTTTCCCTTTGCAGTGAGTAAATGTGAAGCTCTGTCTTGAGAGGGTTTCTGCATTTTTCAATCGAGTGAGAGGAGGAATGATGCATCTCATTTATGATTTCATGGGTAGAAGTGGAAGAAATGTCCTCACTGAGTGCGTGTGGGTGTGCACGGTGTGGGCGTCAGCAATAACGTGTTTGGTCAATGTTTCGAAAAAGTTAGAAAAAAAAACCTGATGAATATTTTCAATATAATCAACTCTGAGCTCAAACTAAAATATCAAAGGGGACATATCCTGCAAAATCCACTTTTTTAGCTGTTAAAAATGTTTTGTTGCTTCTAGAAGGCAGAAAAGTTGAATTTACCAAATACAATTTCCTTGTCTTACTTCTCTGGTTCTGGGTCAGACTCTGGTTCTGGGTCAGACTCAGGTTCTGGGTCAGACTCAGGTTCTGGATCAGACTCTGGTTCTGGGTCAGACTCTGGTTCTGGGTCAGACTCTGGTTCTGGCTCAGACTCTGGTTCTGGTTCAGACTCTGGCTCCAACATGTAAGGCTGGATGGACCCGTCTTCTTTTGCTGACATCTTTCAATTAAATTGTAAATAAAACGTTTCTGCATCACTAGAAAACGTAACCCCCTCTCTCAAACTGGAGTGGACCGGTCTGGAAGCCGGAGGGGGGGGCGGGGCTTGTAGCTCTTAAAGGACCAGTAATAAAATGAGCTGCTTTGAGATACAGTTTGAAAGTGGAGAAAGAGGAGCTGGTGAAGTTAAAATAATGTGGAATTCAAAGAAAAGCTTTGCAGTTCCACTTTATAAATACCCCAAATAAAGGATTTAAATGTGAAAACAAGGATTTAAAAGCAGGGTATGTCTACTTTAAAATTAAAGTGAAAACTGAGGATTTTAAAATCCGAATTATTTACTCCCTTTTAAACTTCTGATTATTTATAAAGCCACATTTGGTTTCCCACTGTGACAAACTGATGTTAAACATTTTGTGGCAAATTTCGTCCTGTAAATAGAGACATTTTCCCCATTTTTTTCTGTCTACAAACAGCTTCTCGTTGACACTGGAATTATCTTCAGATCACATCAATCTGTCAGAGTTTGCTCTGTTTACTTGCAGCTTCTCTCTGGCTTTACTCCGATCCTCAAACAAACCCTGAAGTCTGAACGTCACTGCTGTATGTCGCTGTTTTAGAAACGTTTCTTTCTTTTTGAAACAGCTGTTCAGGAATTTCCCTTCATAAAGCTTCCATCTGGAACTGTTTCTGTTCAGTTTTTTTTCCGCTCTTTACCTGTGTTCAAACGCAGCTTTTAGTGATGTGAATCAACCACATTCTTCTAAATGAGACATAATGAATCTGCAGCCAAATCCAAAAAAATCATACCTTTTTTAATTCTACACCTGTCAGAGCGTCAGATGTGCAGAAACAACTAAGATGGGTCTTGTATTTTTTGGTACGTTTCATGTTTCTTTCACTTTTCTGCACAATCTACTCTTTATCAGAGCATCAATATAAACATTTCTACACAGAAGAGCTGATGTGAAGCGATGGAAACGTCTTTACAGCCTAGAAATTTATTAAAACAGAGTTCAGAGTTCAGTTCAATGAAAATTGGAACTGTTTTGTGTTCAAATTAAGCTTTGTAGCATCACTTTCAACACATATGGATGCTTTTGTTGCACAGACTTGAAAAAAATGACCTTAAACTGGATGAAATCATCATTATTGGTGCACAATGTTCTGTTTTCATCATTAACCATCTCCTGTAGTGGAACAGAAATATGATGCTGCAGAAGCATTGCTGCTACATTTTTGAATTCAGTGTTTATTATCGGCTCGGGTTGACTGAAACCTCAGCTGATCTGAGCTGAGCTGCGGCCTGTAATAAAAAAAAATCCCTAAAGACTTCACCAGTGTGAAGTGTCAGAAATGTTCCAATCTGTTTGTTGTTGTCCCTGGGGCCAAAATGCAACACAAATAAAAACATTTAATGTTCTGCAGTTTGAATTATTTTAAGCTTGATATGTGCTGTATGATTTTTTTTTACAGCACATCTTATTTAAAAACTGCTGTTTAAAAAAACATGTTGTGTATTTTTACTTTTTCTTTTGGAGATATTTGACCAAAATAGCACGATTCTACATAAAATACATAAACAAAAGCACAATACAATATTTTATGCAACATAAATAAATGCAATTTCTTCATCAGCTCATTCCCAATATTTATTTTGATTTTAACTCCTCAACTGCCCCACTTAAAAACACCAGAATAAAGCACACCCAAATTAAATTAGAGGCTGTTCTTGGTGCAAAAGCCTGGCCTCTCTATAAAGGCAACTCTGAATATTTCTCAGTTTTATTATTTTAGTTTTTTTGTTGCTGCACATGGAGGGATGGAGTGGAACCACAAATGAGGCTTTACAATCATGTCCTTTCAGACAAACAAGGAAACGAATGAAAGACGAGTGTTTCTTACCCCGCTTTGTGTGTGTCAGCAGACGGAGGCCTTTTGTTTGCAGTCCCGTCCTGGTGGGCCTTTTTATCCAGCGACAGAGACAGGGGAGCGTCTCGAACTGGCAGCCCCAACACCAGCGTCTCTTTGGTAACTGAGACGGCTTCGTCGCCCGTTCGACCCATGTGCTTTTTGGCGTAGTCGAAGCCCTGGACAGGCTGGCAGGGAAGATCCAGACACAACAGTCAAGGGGGGGCAGCTTTATGAATGACTTCATCACAAATACATTTAACATTTCTTAAAGATGTGAAGGATGTTTTGTAATGCATTAACTGAATATTAGATGCAGTATTTTGTTTTATACTTTCTGATAATTGCAGCCTTTAAGGTTAAAACAGAATGACAGTTGGTGTGTGTTATCTCGTGTTCTTTCTGTAGCCGAAACAAAAATGAGTTACGTTCTATGTCTGACGTAAAAAGTTACCACCTCCAGGGGTGTAACCAGGAAGAGTTGTACATAGGGGTGCAACAATACATGTACCCGTATTGAACCGTATTGAACAGTGCTTTAGGTTCAATACACACTTGTATGGAACAATACCGATTTTTTAAATTTACTTTATCAACTTGTCTTCTGAAGATGCTCTGTGTTGAAGGATCAGTGGATCTGTGTTCGACTACTCCACCTAGGCTGCATTTTTGAGCACAGATCCACTGAGAAACTTGCTGTTTCAGCAACATTTAATTTAAAAACTGTACNCAGATCCACTGAGAAACTTGCTGTTTCAGCAACATTTAATTTAAAAACTGTACTTTTGAGGTTAAACAAATGTTCATAGTTAATTTAAATAAATTACAAGTTAAAATGGGCATGGAAATTTCTCTTTTTTTGTTTCGAAAAAAATATCGAACCGTGAGATTAAAGTATCGAACCGAACCGAATCGTGAATTTTCTGTATCGTTGCACCCCTAGTTGTGCATTATAAGGTCAATTCATTAGTGTTTTGCAGAGTCTCTGCTTAGATCCATCCTGGACAGACTGGGATGTTTTGTTTGGGTTTTCAGATAAGGCCCAATGCCTTACACTGAGGCCTGACTGCTGTAATGTTGGAGTCAGAGATGAAAATAAAGAATTGAGAAGAAATCAAGTGGACTCCTGCTTTTATTCAGACATACCATTTTGAACAACACGTTTCATTTTATTTTTTACAGATGCCTCAGACATTTATTATTTACGTCTTTTAGCCAAGGTGAAGTCCTATTTTTGTTTTAGAGATTTTGAGAAAATTATTCATGCTTTCATCACAACATGTTTGGACTACTGTAATTCATTGTACAAGGGCAGAGATCAGTCCTCCCTGCATCCTCTCCAAATGATTCAAAATGCTGCAGCCCGACTTTTAACTGGCACACGGAAACATGAGCATTTTACACCTGTGTTATGTTCATTACACTGGTTATCTCACAGAATTGATTTTAAGATTTTATTGTTAGTTTTTAAAGTTTTGAATGGCCTTGCTCCAACCTATGTACAAGATCTTTTGCATCTTCATTCTTCGTCTACGGTAGAACATTGAGGTCAAACAACCAGATGCTTCTAGATGTTCCAAGATCCAGATTTAGGAGTAGAGGTGATCGTGCTTTTGCTGTGTCTGCTCCCAATCTATGGAACAACGTTCATATTAGATCTGCTCATAGCTTGGAAAACTTCAAAGCGCTTCTTAAGACTCACTTTTATTCAATGGCATTTAATTAAAGTAAGACCTGGAATTGTTATTTATCTGTTCTTACTATTGTTGGTTGTAATTTATTATGTATTTTCAGCAATTATTGTGGTTTTGTGATGTCTGTGGATTGCTGTACAGCACTTTGGTGCGGCTTTTAGCTGTTTTTAAAAGGGCTTTATAAATAAAATTACATTGACATTTTTCCTAAATCAGTCGATGCAGCAAGAAAAAGTCAAACAAGCAGCAGGCAAAGAGCAGAGCTCATGCAAAGACCTCTCAAATGGTTTAGTTTTCATATCTGCCACTTCCTCATTAGCTCATGGTGCAAAAGACAAGTCAACATAAACAATAACCCACAAAAAGGACCAATGAATGATAGAAATCACAAAAATAAACATAGCTATAAAATGACATTTAAATAATGAATAATCTAAATTACACACCGACAGAACATACAGTCAGTCTGAGACGGTCCATATAAACCCAATAATCAGTCAAAATGTGAGTTTTAGTTCAAGAACTGGATATCCTCTCCTTGCTTTGGGACTGGCTGTATGATGTAATAAATAAAATATTTAGGCACACAGCTCTTAATTCAAATAAAAGTAACTAGAGGGGCATCCCTTCCAAATCACACTTTTGTGAATCTCCAAACAGCAGAGCTTGCAAAATAAAAAATAATGAAGCTCAGCAGCACCTTTGAAGTCAGGGTTTTTGTTCTGAAAAGTCATTAAAAAAGGGAAATGGAAAAATCATTTTGATACAAATTTAAAAGCCTGAAGACATCCCCTTTTAGCTAGTTTTTAGATTATGAAACAGAGCGAGGGGAAAAAAGGTGGGATTTTGGGGGTTACACAACCACGCAGACGAAACCCTGATTAGTTTCTCTCATCTTTTCTATTTTGAGTCGCTCCAAAATAGGACGCCTAATGCATCTGATGATGCATGATAAATTGTGAGTGCGTGTAAGGTTAGGCAGCGCGGGCATACGGTTGATGGTGTTGTTAATAATTCATCGGTTTTACACACCGCCGTGCCGTCGGCGGACTCCAAAGACAGCAGCCGGAGATTCGTGGGAACGGATATGAGCTCATGAAAAGCCAAACTCCAGAAAACCCGCCCGCTATGATGGCACCAATATATGGATTTTATCTTCATATCTGCAGGGATTGTTCACCTGTGAAATAACACAGGTTGACAGCAGCGACTTTGTTGTGTGAACAATGTATGGGGAGTGCAAACACTCATTTGTCCGTGGCCTTGTGATGTTCTCAGGCTGAGAGGGAGTGGAGCTGTGTGTTTTTGACAAGTAAAGAAAAGGCAAACAGGCGGAGGATGAGGAAAACTAAACAAGATGTACCAAAAATATCCACTCAATGACAAGCAGCAGGATCACCGGAGAGACAATTTCTAGTTTTCGCTTATCATTTTAACAATTTTTAAATATTACTATAAAATTTAATTTAAGTACTACACTTTCAAAACATCTGTAAAGCCAAAATCTCCCAGTTGTGGCTAAAAACTGCAAGAAAACTGATGAATTTAGGTGAACAAAATTATTGGTACCCCTTGTTTAATGCAAGCAAAACCCACTATGGTCACAGATTAAGATAAAGACTCATTTAAAACTCATGAAATAAGCTCGGACAGAAATGATGGAACTCTTAACTTAATATTTTGTTGCACAACCTTTTGAGTCAATCACTGCAATCAAATGATTCCTGTAACTGTCAGTAGCTGTGTTTCCATTGCAAATGTGCGCAAAACTTTGTCGATATTCTGTTAATGCTGAAAAACACAGTTTCGCAACTGCAGTGTTTCCATTAAGTAAGAAATGCCATTAAAATCATGCGTGAATACGTTTGTTCTCGTGATAATTCATTACAAACATGGAGACGATGGTTGTAAACACATAGCATGTTGCTACCGCGACACTAGCGCTCATCATCAGAGGAGACGTCGGCGTCTTATCGAGGTTTTCCAGCAACAAGCCCCTTATACTTGGGAGCGGCTACGTATGCTGTGTTTTTGGGAAATTATAGTCGGTGAGTTTACTATTTTATACTACTTCTGCAGCTGTAGTCACAGGAACATCAAGCTGCTTGGAGATGGTCTTATAACCTTTACCTTTAACATGCTTGTCTTATAAYCTTTRCCTTTAACATRYTTGTCTTATAACCTTTACCTTTAACATGCTTGTCTATAATTTTCTTTCTAATCTCCTGAGACAACTCTTTTCTTGTCTTCCTCTGATCCATGTTGAGTATGGTCCACTCCCTGTCACCAAACATCAGTGAGTATCTGTAGGCCTATATACAGGCCCACTGACTGATTACAAGATTGTAGACACCTGTGATGCTAATTAGTGAACACACCTTGATTTAACATGTCCCTTTGATCACATTATTTTCAGGGGTACCATCATTTCTGTCCAGGCCTGTTTTATGAGTTTTATTTTCTCATGCTCTGAGAAGCTCAATATTTCAATAATATGTGTTTGCATGTTCTGGCAACCAGTGTTGAACTTAATCACAATCTGTTTGTGTTTGGTCTTCAGTGCGATCCTCCCACAGTGAGGACCACGTCCAATTTTAACGGTCTTTCAGTGAATGTATGATAAGTTTCAGCCTGATATTTATGGTCTTTGAAACAGTGTGCTTGTCAAACGTTTCTCCTCTTATATAAAAAAAAGCTTAACGTTGCATTGTACACTGTAATTAGTTGCTTATTTATTAGTTGGTTTGCTGTCAAACCTCTAAATGTTTTCCATAATGAGAAACAAAGTTAACACTATGTAGACATAATCCTAGCAATAACACTGACTTCACTTTTTGGACATCTTCAGCATAATTTTATTGGAAAGTGATAATAATTATTTATACAACAGTATTTTCTCTTCAGCATGTTTTGAAAAAGAGTTCACCCTTCAGTCACTGACAGGTTCTGGCTGGTATCCATGAAGGCTGGATGGATTCACAGAAAAGACAAGGCCAAGTGACGTCGCCCTGAAGAGTGGGACTGACATTTCACAACTGGTATTTTAGAGTCCTGGCTCACAGTCTGTCATTATCTCAGTCCTTTATTAAAAACAGACACATCCTTCTTTTATAATTGCCTGTCTTTCCTCTCTAGACCCCCTGTCCTCCCCTTCATCACTTCCTCTCTTCCTGCGCTCACTAACACTGTGTTGATTTAACAAATCCTTCATCTTGTCTGAGGATCCCTGTTTAATGAAGACATGACTGCAGATAGTTTATGAAATGCCATGAACCGTGATCTGCCTGTCAGAAATGTTTTCTTTACATTTATTTAAAATACAGACATTTTTTAAAATGTAAAACTGGATCGAAAAGCTTCACCTTTGACGCTGAATTATCCATCCTTTCACGATCAGACTGAAGCTCCTGTGTTGGTCTAATTTTAGCTTCAACCAACAGCAGCTTGATGTTGTACAGCAGATGGACGAGATGTGCCCCATTCCCTCGAGAGGCCATATTGATTTAAATTCAGCTCTGCCAGGGCAGAGAACAAGACTAAACCACGCAGTTTCATGTTTTTAAAAAAAGTTTCGGTACATAAAAACTGAGCAATAAGCACATCTGCACCAGTGATGCACCGAGGAGATTAAACCCTCCGGGGGGGGGGGGGGTAAGAATGATGCAGCGAAATGCAAAACACCTTCTGTCCTTTAAATGGCAGCTGCTGTATTTTATACATATTGAGCAGCTTACAAATGAAAAATAGGTTTCTTGTACTTCTGCTGATTCCACCTCCATTGTGCTCCAAATGCAAGTTGACTATCGGAGGCTTTTCAGAGCAACAAAGAGGAAGAAAAAATCCGTTTGAAACATCTCTCAGCTGTGCAGCAGATTGATGAAGTGAACCGGACAACGCAGAATCAACGCAGAATCCTTCTTTAATACTTAAATACACATGCAAACCTAATCGAAACCACAGTATTGATCAGCAGCTGCAGCCTGTCCAGAACGGTGACCGATGGCCGGGAGAGGTGGGAACACTTTGCTCACGTAAGCAAACACAGACTCTGATGCTCAGTAGATCAAACTGACAGAGTCTTTCACTGTGCTCAGTACTGTTTACGATTCAGATGGCTTTAACACGTCTGACACGGTTCACATCTGCACCAATCAGGATTAATGTTTAATGTGAACAGCTGCACATCATCAGCGTACGACTTGATGCTCTACAAGTGAAAATCAAACCTGTACATTATCCTTTAGAATAAAAGTAGAATTTCTTGAAGGAATGTATATTGCCTGCTGCCTTAAGCTTATACTTCAATATGACGTTGGTGATTGCATCGTTTCGGACAGCTTTTTCCTGACCGAGTATAAACGTGCTGAAGACTTTATTTTTGTTGTTGTTAACGGTAAAGATGAAAAGCTGCATGCTCATGTTCAATAGGATCAAACCAGCTGCTCTTCTAGCTCTTTCAACGAGTGGCTTCAGACAAAATAAATCATTTTAAACAAAACGGCATGAGGGAAGAGCTGCTTTGGTTCTGCTCCTCATGAACAAACATACCCACGAAGTTCTGACAAATCACACGCTCCGAGCTGCAAGGTCCGAGTCGCAGAGTTCTGGCTGGGGGCAATGTACACGATGACTGTCACCGAGGGAAGAACAGCGGGACAGCTGACGGAAGTTATGCAATTTTTTGTCACTTAGCAGGGGAACAAGACATGCAACTCCAAGTATAAACCAGACTTTACATGCCAAAGGTTATGACTCTCAGCTACTACCACCAAACAAAAATGTCTACATTAAAGCCATTTCTGTGTTTGCTGAGGTCAATAAGCTGTGGTGGCCATCTTTTCCAAAAGTTACCAGTTGTTGATGTCCAGCCAGTGATTAATTTCTGGAAGAAAAAAAATTTAAGTAATTTTAAAAAGTCTGGCGCAAACTTTATTTTTTTAATTCTCTTTGTCAGCTCTTCCTTGAAAAACTTTGAAGAAATTGTTTTTTTTTCTTTCTAATTCTTTTACAATTGATGTCCTCCTTCGTGCAACCTGAGACTGAAACTGCAGTCCTGACCACTGAACTAACTCACCGCTCTGATGCAGAATTCACACAATTCTTAATATTTATATTTGTTTAACATGCACAGATCTGTCTTAGGCAAACATTGTTTGCTTTTTCTAATGCTAAAACCAAATTTAAACCCAACATTTAGGATTAACATCTTATTGTGAAGAGTTTTTATTTTATTTTATTTTATTTTATTTTATTTTATTTTATTTTATTTTATTTTATTTTATTTTATTTTRWTTYMTCTCTGAAGCTCAGAAAGGGAATCAGTTCTGAGGACAAACCTACACACACAGAACACTAAAAAAGTCGGTTTTCATTCTCAGGAAGAGATGATTCTTTACAGCCTTCTGATAATATTACAATAACAAATGTGTTTTAAATAAAAGCAGGAACAGAGCTGCACGTTCTCCCCTCAGACTGAAACAACCCAGAATCTTACAGTTCTAAAAACAATCCAAAAAACAAGTGGCTTCAAAGCCAGGACATACATGAACACGGTACACATTGATGTTTGAAAAGGCTACAAAGAAAACTGTCAAATAATTTTTCCCTTTCCCTGTAATAAATATTCATCTTGTTTGCTTATAGATGCCACTTCTCAGGACTGGGAGTGGATAAATACGACTGTGGATAAAACCCTAATAGTAGCCTCCCGGCTCCACTTATGAAATCTCATATTTTGAGCCTCTTAAATATTTGATGCCCTCTGTTGCAAAACACAAAACAAGCGTTCGTGTTAAATGTTTACAAACGTTTGTGAGAGCAAATAAACCCTCAGAGCTGGAAGATGTTAATGTACTCTCTTTTTTTTAAAGGAGAGGATAACAAACGCAGAAAACATGTGCATCTATTTTCTGGGTTGTTTACAATGGCTCCACTAACCTCCCCCTAAAAAAACGTCCCGCCTCCCCATCCTTACATCCATCTCTCGGCTCACTTTGCGTCTCAAGGGACGAGGATGAGAAGGTCGGGACCAAAATAACTCGCAGACTCAGGAGCTGACATCCTCCATCACAGCGACGATCCCACGCTAACGGCTTCCTGAAGCATTTAAAGAATATTACCATTTTTATCTGCTGGCTAGTGGCGTTCCGCTTTGAGTCGGGATAATTTTAGGATGTGAAAAACGATTGGAGATCTGTGTAGGGTTCCTGCTGAGCCACTGTGTGACTGAAGTGGTTTTATTTGAGGGGATAAAACAGCTGACATGAAAGCGGGAGGCACTTGCAGAGAGGTTGTCTTGGTTGATAAATCAAGCTTGTCTCTTTGTGTGGATGCTTATAAATAAAATCCGACTGACTCGGTGTTAAAGCCTCCCTTTTTTTTATATTTTTGGCTTCCTTCTGGCCAACTGAACCAAACTCATTAGCTGTTAAGTGACTCGTACACCAACTTTAAATCTTAGGGAAACTTAATTTTTTAACAAGTCATCACAACCTCCAAACTTTCCTCTTATTGATCTGCCAGCAAGTAGACAGGTGGAAATAAGTCATGTAGCTGCAGTGCAACAGAAAGAACACAGAGCAACAAGTAGCCAACAAACGAAGCTGAATGCAAAAAACCAAATCACTCATTCATTCAATCAGTGAATCCACACAGACAGTTTCAGCAGCTTTATGTAATACCTGGTGGTGGTAACTGCCCTCTCTTCGATATGACGTCTGAACAGGGAGAGAGGCAGAGGGAAAGGGTCAGGAAAGGAGTTTAGGGTTAAAATAAGATTAAATAAAATACACAGGAACAGAACAAGGAACAAGAGCTAAGCTTCATCCTGGTCTCAGTTCTCAGAAACAGCTTGAATAAATATAGTGTTACAATAATTAATTTGACTAATTTGACCTTCTTCTGGTTATTTTTAAATGTGGAATAGAAAAGGAAATGTGGCTTAATGAACTCTGAAAACACTAAACAGACGTTTGATTTGGATACTTTTAGATTTATGTTTCAAATACTCTTTTCCTGCCCTATTTTTTGTGCAAAAAATTGCATTTCTAATTTTTTCTTGGTTACTATGGAGGACTGAAACTGACAAAAATAAAAGCAGAAATATATATATGGACCAATAAATACATAAATAAATACACTTAAAATGCACCAATTAAATTAAAAAGTCAAACATTACCTAATTTAACTGACCTTCATATTTCTTTTTCCAGCTTAGTCCCAAAAAATTCTATATTTTAGCACATAATTTACATTTTACTGTTTTGAAAAAGTTATTTTTTGTTTTTCCTTTTTCTTGTACATGCATTTGTGTCTCTTAAATTATTTTATTTAATTACTTTAATTTCTTTCCCACGTCTTTTTATTTCCATGTGTTGCTTTTACATTTCTCTGCCTCCTGTTTTTACCTTACCTTATGCATTTCTCCCTCATCAAGCAAATGAGGTGGGCGGAGCATCCTGGGTCAGCTCCTCTCCTATTGGTCAGCAGACAGGAAGTAGCAGGATCCATGTGCAGAACTACTGTGCTGCTGCTGCCTCAGTTTAGCTTAAGGTTTAAAGTTTAGTTTAAAACAAAGATGCAGGTAAGTGTTTTCCTCCTTGCCTTTGTGCGTTATGCATGTACAAGTAAAAGGAAAAAGAAAAAATATATACATTTTTTTAAAAACAGCAAAAAGTATATAATTTCTTGGAACTAAGCTGGAAAAATAAATATGAAGGTAGATTAAATGATAAAACATGAGGTAAAGTTCTCCTTTTTTTATTTAACTGGTGCATTTTAAGTGTATTTATTTATTGGTCCATTTATATATTTCTGCTTTTATTCCTGATAATGTAAGTTTGGGTCCTCCACAGGTTTCACTGTGTCTTTAGAGAATTTTTAAGTTCTGTTTATAAATTCAAAAATTAGTGTCTTTATTGTGATGATGAATAAAAAAATAAATCCAGCTCTGTTGTTATGAAGAGCCTCTTCACTCTGAGGAGGTTTTCAGCTTGTTTACCACTTCAGCGGCTGCAGTGACACAAACAGCTGCTGCTCTGGCGTCACGTATGATGCTGCGTTCAGGGCGAGCGTCCGACCTGATCAAACCATCTGCCGACAATTTATTAAGGACACGCAAAGTGATTGGTTTTCACTTAAACTCCAATTAGTCAATAATAAGCGAACGCTGTTTTCTGTGGTGGGGCAGAAAAATTACCCCAAGCTCCTCTTCCGCTACAGAGAGCCAGGGCCAGCTTCCTTTTGGACGATTGGTCTTTGCAGCATGCATGATTAGCAACGACCACGGGCTGCTGGGTCGTGAGAAAAACAAACGAGCGAAGCCTGCAGAGACGAAATTCATTTCTCTGACCCGAAGGAAACAGCTTGACACGATTGGTTTTCTGTCTGATGTGGCACTTGCAACACGATTACGCAATCTTGTTACAACCTCAGAGAAGATTAAACATTTGCGATTTGTTGAAGCGGTGAGATATGAACATCTCAGAGAGACGTTTAGACAACAGCTAATTTACAGCAGCGACGAGAAACGAGGAAAGAGCGGGACGGAGAACGAAAGGTACAAGAAAGGATGAGCAGACAGTCTGATTTACCTTGGAGCGGGTTTTAAAGGTCCTGAAGGCACCGGTCTTGAAGATGACTCTGTTCCTCTTACACAGGATGAAGGCAACCATTCCGATCACAATCATCAGTAAGAAGAGCGGCGTCAGGACGGCCATGATCCACAGGTTGCTGGGCGGCGTCTTCACCACAGCTGTAAAACACACAGAACAGAAATTAAATCACCGTTACAAGTTTGGACTTGTTTTTCCAATCTATAATGTCCTGAAAGGATTTTATGTTATTAGTACAGTTTAAATAAAATGAAATGATAGAATTGAGTTAAAAATATTACAAAGTTTGTTTCAGTGATGCCATAGACGAACATTAGTTGAAGAAATCAGTCAAGATGCTGGAAATCTGATCTCTTTTTGTGTTATAAATCAAATCTGCAGTGAAATAAAGCTGTAGGAGCAGAGCGGTGTTTCTAATTTGAAAAACTTTCCCAATAACTTGTTTTTGAAGCCTATCTGAGACAGAAGTGTTTGCTTGTGTTTTTATAATTAGGATTCATACGGCTGGTTTCTTCTCAGCCATTAAAAGGCGAAGTGAGCAAGATTTACAGGAACACTGAGCTCCGTTCCTGACTTCAACACTTTTAGAACGGGCCGTGAAGAGAACTGATGATCACCTAATTATACCGTTGTTTCTGAAAAAAAAAATATATATAGAGGACAGGCTTTTTCTTTTTTAGCTGCTACTGCAGAAATATCACTTTAAACCATTACAGCACAAAGCAGTGAATAAAAACAATCTTTAATTTAGATTTTAAACCTGAGCTTTGAAGTTTGTTGAATTCACATTATGGAAATGTAGGAAAATTTATGAAAATCCAAATGCTCCTAAATGTCACGGTAAGCCGAGCCAGCCCTGCTTCAGTTCAGCAGATGAATCCTAAAGAGCATTTAGGCTGGAACGCTTTCAGAGGTGTTGTGTCTCCACAAAAGGCTGCCGAATGAAAAATGTGAGCTGAATATGTTCATTGTGATATTTATGTCACGTAAAATATGGGCATAAAACTCACTAGAAGTGTGCAAAAGAAGAGTTTCACTTAGTGGCTTCCATTTCTGTGGCAAATATTAAAAAATGCACCACGAGCTGAATGACAGAGAGAAATAACTGTTAAAGCTAAAGATCTAAACTAAAAACTGCAATTATTTAAAGCTACCATAATGTAACAAAGCTAAAACCAGTGGAACAATAGCTAAAAGCTAAAATTAGTAAAGCCAAAAGTTAATTTTAGCAAGACGAGTCAAAATTATCAGTGTTTACAAACTAAATTTAACAGAACAGTAGCTAAAAGCTAAAATTAGCATAACTGTAGCTAAAAATCTAACCTGCAAAAACACAGCTAAAAGCAAAAAATAGCAGAACAGTAGCTAAAAGCTAAAATTAGCAAAGTCAGAAGTTAAAATGTGCAAGACAGTAAGTAAAAGTTAAAACCAGCAGTAGTTAAAAGCTAAGATTAGCATAACAGTAGCTAAAATCTTATGCTTGCAAAAGTGTGGCTAAAAAGTTAGACCAGCAGAAAAATAGCTTGAAGCAACAACTAAAAAGCTAAAATTAGCAAAGCCAAAAGTTTACTTTAGCAAGACAAATTTGTCTGCAGTTAATTGCTAAATTTAGCAAAACCAAAGCTAAAACACTATATTAGCAAAACTGTGGCTAAAAACTAAAACCGGCAGGAAAATAGCTAAAATCAACAGAACAGTATCTAAATGCTAACATTCGCAAAGCTAAAAGTTTAAATTAGCAAGACTCAATTATCAGAAGATTAGAAGAGAAGATAAAACATTATCTTTGCAAAACTTCAGCTAAAAACAAAAAAACAGCTGAACTTTAGCTACAAGCTACAATGAGTAAAACAGTAGATAGTAGCCAAAATTAGCAAAACAGCTAAAAGCTAAAACTACAAAATGATAGCTAAAAGCAGTAGCTGAAAAGAGGCAAACATAAACAACTAAATACTGTGTAATAAATGCAGTTTTACATAAAAACAGGCTGTGATTTAAAAAAAAACTGGTTGTGAGACTGAAATCTAAAATCTGCTCAGTTTCTTCCAGTTTTCCTACAGTTTTGTGTTGCCAACAAGAATCTTTTCAGGGATGGATTTAGATTTTGTAAACTGTCTCTGTGAGACTCTTCCAGCCTCTGACGTTCCCGTCATGTAGCATCAAAGGAACATGAAAACCATCTTACGCTCAGCCTGCACTTGTACGAAGTAGCCCAGCGTCAGAGCCATGGTCTGGGAGTCCAGGCTGCTCAGGGTCTTAGCGGCTGTGGTTCCGGTGATGGGCTCTCCGTTCTGCTGGGCGTAGTAAATCATTTCTGCTGGATTCTTGGGTCCTGGCAGCCGACGTATGCTCACCATCTGAACCAGGAAAGACGATTATTTGAAGGGTTTTTACAAAATCAATGAACAAATTAAACACAAACTCTTCCTCTGTCGACACCAACACTGTCACAGTATATCTGCGGTCCAATCAGAATGACTAATCTCACTTACTTTGATCATGTCGAGCATTTGCTGCAAGATAAATGCATTCTGTGAAGACACTCGAGGATAACTGAGTCACTTGAAATCCCAATTTCCTTTCATCATACATCAAACACTCGTTTTCTTTTTTCAAACATCACACGGTTTAATCAAGTCTAGTAATTTGATTTTGCCATAAAAAGAACGGATATGTGTTATTAACTGGCTGGAGGTTTTCTCCACTGATTACTCCCCCCTCCCCCCACCCTGCCTCTCTGTCACCCTGCAGCCATAAAACTGGTCATCTGTAAAGGCTGTAAAACCCTGAGGGTGTGTAACGCGCGAGGCCTACAAGGAACCAAACATCATCTTAATTTGCACAACATGGAACGGCGAGCAGAAAGAGGGGACGAAGGCTGGAAACGACAAGCGTGCAAACCTTCTGCTTCGACTTCCTGTTTGTTTCATTATTTTTACCCATCATCACCACCTCGAGCTAAAGTTAAATCACAAACACGCTGCTGCCTATTCTTCTTGCTTCAGAGCGACCGCAGCTGTTACTTTTAACCGTAAAACCGGTCGCCTGCAGCGTTTCCTCTCAGAATATCTCACCTTTTTCTGACTTAACGGGCTGTCAGAACGGTCCCACCTCAAGTCTGCTTGGAGAACCGTCCAGGTTTCTAAACCTGGAGCTGTCTAGGCAGTTGGAAATACTTTTGAGTGGACTATTTTACCCAGTACTACGAGTGTCAGGGGGTAGAATTAGGGCTGACTTAATTTACCACAATTTTTATCTCTTGATTTCTTCTTCTACGCACAAAAAAGGTCCACCGCTGTCATTATTGGAGTGTGTGGAAACTACTATTTACTGTAGAAGATAAGCAGCTAATCGTAATGGGCAAGAGTCTGGATTTACCATTACTGTACATCAGGGCTATTGAACTGGTGGCCCGTGGGCCACATCCGGCCTGCGAGTGACCAATGTTCGGCCCGCCAATTGGTTCATTCATCTCTCAAACCAAAACCCTCTGTTTTCTACTTTAATTACTATAAGTTCTTTTAGTTAAACATAGACATGTTTGATATCCACAGAAACATCAGAATCTTGGCTTGAAGCTGGTAAAAACCATTTCAATGAACACCCAAGATAATTAAAACTACAAGCAGTTGAAGATAAAATTATGAAAGTGATAAAACTGGTTTAAAAATTTGCCATGACAGATGAGAAAATAGTATTTGTGGTAAATAAGAGGCACAATGTGTTATTTTTGTTTTTGTTTTATTATCTCTACTTTTATTACACATTACATATGTTATATTGATGATTAAATGCTGCAAAATAAACTATTTCAAAGGTAACAGATCTTTGTAATACTTGGTTTATTTACATAATGACTTTAATTGCTGGATGTTCGGCCCCTCAGCTGTTGGCCTGCAGTAACTGAGTGATTTATTGAATAGCCCTGCTGTATATTTTGGTGACATAGCAAAAAAAGACTGATCATGTCGAAATAAAAAAATATATTATTAATATTTTAGAGTGTATACAATCTGTCTAATGTTTTAAAATAGTACCAGAAAGCTGTGTTATGGATTTTACCAACAGAAGAGAAACCTGTCTCCTTTCACAAGTAAACTGATTTTATCTTATTTACCTCAATGTGGATGTGATCTGAGCAGAACTGAAGCTAATAATTGACAGTTTAAAATTAAAATAAACATAAATTGGATGTAATCACTGTTATTTATTGAACTGGTTAGCAGTGTAGGGG